ACCCGCGGGCGGGCTCCTCCCCACAGGCGGCAGGGGGACCTGCCGGTCCGAGAGCTGCCTGGTGCGCTTGGCCGGGGTCCTAAAAAAGTCCTAAAAACTACAAAAGATCCTGAACTTGGGGTTTTCTCTCTTTAGAAAAACTCATTGTTTATTAAAAAAAGAAAAAAGTTTGTGTTAAAAGACTTTGGTGAATAGAAACAAGTCGTCGCTCACCTTTTCGGATCCATGTAAAAAATCGTTCAAGGCCTGAGGATCGCTGCAAAACAACACACGAAACCGTTTAGGGATGCAACACGTGACCCCCGTCAAGGCGGGAGCAAAACGCGTGTTTCTAATTAGCGCATTAACGTCTCTTCGAAGGCTCGCGTTCAGCGCAGTAACTAACGGCGTACGCCGATTTATGCCTCAACGGCTACGCTTTATTACAGGTAGAAGTTAATGTATAGGTGCTCGGAGAAGGTCATTTTTCTTCTCCTGGGTCACCAACACTGCCTTACTCCCCCTCCCCTGTTAATTCTGCAAAGCCCCAATTACCAACGGTTTCATCATCGCAAGAAATCCCTTTTCGAAAATTAGCTCGCCTTGGCTGTTGACAGGCAGTTTGTCAACAAACCGTTTGGGCGACCTGCTAACGAGCATCCCCAGCCCGATGCTGCTGATGGCAAGCAAGGCTTGGAGCGCAGCGCCTGGATTCCTAAAAGTCGTAGTTGTTGGCAAAAGCGGGATTTATTCACGTGATAAGCGGGCCAAGTAAAACGCGGGATGCGCAGCCTGTTGTGTAAAACCTCCTCCGGCACAGCCCTGGAGAAGCCCGGAGCCCTCTGAGCTTCACAGGAGGAAACAAAAACCTACATGAGGAGGGGTTTATGAGTTTGGGAAGTGTGCAGACCCTTTCAAGCACACCTCGGGTCATTTTTGGCTCTGGGAGACCCAGCCTGGCACTGGAGAAGCCCCAGTGACTGACGGGGATGTGCCTACAGACCGAGGGTGGCAGAAACCCCTTCCCGACCCTACGCCTTCCCCAAAACGGGACGAGAGACGATGAACTGCCGCGGCATCTGGCTCACGGCGCGGCGCTACTTACCAAATTACATCTAGCAGGCACCGGCCGTCTTCATCATCCATGTCAACTGTAAAGAGCGGAGAGAAACCACGTTACTATCAGGAGAGCAGAGGAATTGGGAGCTGCTCCTCACTCCCTCCATCCCAAACACCGCACTTTGCTTTTCACCCCTCCCTCCATCCCCAGTGATGATGACGATGCCCTGCTGCCATGTGACGGTGGGGGACAGGGGAACAGACCAGAGGACACCCCAAGAGGAGGCTCCACCAGTCAGAGGGGTGTCAGAACCCCCCCAAAAAGTTTAAGAAGGTGCTGGAGGTGGGAAGGAAGGGGGCTGGGGCCACCAGCCAAGAGAACGGCTCTGCAGAAGAGGACCCTGGTTCCAGCCACGGGAGGATCACCGAGTGGTGCAAGGTCATGGCCATCAGTAGGAAAACCACTGCCCCCGCCTTCTCCCGTATCATTTTCTGCTGGAGAAGCCGATAGTGGCAAAGCCACCCATCTCCACCATCGCTCCTCCAGCAGCGGTTAGGGGTGAGAGAACCAGGAAGCCAAAAGCGCGGTCAGCCGAGCCCCGTAACCAGCAGTCCAGGGACCCGCCGGTCTCTCCACCACGTTCAAACTTCCACCGCTCCCATCCCTCCATCGCGGTGGCTTACTCCTCCACCGGACAGATTTCACCAGCAATTTTCCTACCCGGAGCTTAGGTTTCACTCTGAAACCCAAACCCGCAGGTTTTTGGCTTGTTTTCACCCTGAAGGTCTCGGACCCTCAGCCAGAAGCACGAGGAGGCAGCGCAAGCCACATCCCACCACCTGCAATCACTGGGGTTTGGAGGGGAAAAAAAAAAAAAAAAAATTTTTTTTTAAAAAAATCACACATTTACGTATTTTTAGCCCTAAACTTTCACTGTGGCAAAACGTCCTGGGAGGCATTTTACTTCAGAAGGTGGAATTGAAGATTTTTCCGACGATAACCTGAGAGCTGGCACCAGCCCGCCTCCTCGCAAACCCCTTTTTATGGCTGAGCCTGGAAAAGGGCGGGGGTTTGGGGTCGGGGTTTTTTTTTTGGTGTTTCTCCCTCTTTTCCTCAGATCTGCTCCACAGCCGGAGTATGAAACTCTCTAATGAGACTCAGCTAATAAAAATCAAGGAGAAGCAGAGAAAAAAAAAAGCTACCTCAGTAGACTATAAAGGAAAAAAAAAAGTGGGGAAACTCACTGCAGGATACACACACCTTTAATAGGCTGAAGTTCACGGTTTTTGAACAATCTGACTTCAATAGTTGTCTGTCGGCTGTAATTATTTTCAGGACCTGCAAATGAATAATCTAAATATGCCACTGAAACTTGACTAATTAACTCTGGAGAAGACTGTAACCCGAAGAGCGCCCACCGCTCCGCAGACAGAACAGAATAGAGACCCCGTACTCTAATTTTTCCACTATTTCAGACGTTCTTCCGGGTATTTAGGAATAACGAAGCAAAAACACAGAACGGAGAAGGTTTTCTCCAAGTTCCAGCTGAAACTTTCCACAACATCGCATCCCCCCAAGGCAGGACAGCATCGCTCGCCGGGTTCGGGACGCATGCCGGCATTTCTAACCACGCTTGTAATTCCCGAGGCCGAGAAAGCCCGGCTCAGTGCTGCAGAAATCATCCCAAAAGTGATGATATTTGTAAAGTTTCCCCCCACACACCTTCATCTTTCTGCTACAGCCCTCCTGTAACGGAGCCTTGCGGGGGGATTTATGAATTAAGAGATGTTTTGCTGCTACCTGGATTTCTGCCTTGTCACTCGGTCGTATTGATTACAGACGGCTTACCAGGTGGGGAGGAGAAAATTAAAACGGCTTTTTAAAAAGCGGCGACGTACGGCAGCTGTGCTGGGCACCCCGGCACGAAGAGCAGATCCTGACCCCAAACGTCCTCGATGGGTGCGCAGGAATTACCAGTCAGGCGGAGCAAGATGCTATTAAATCAGGGAGGCTCTAATTTTTCGCAGTTACAAAGCAGTGCGGTGCTGAGGGGGGTCAGGCCCGTTATCACTACTTAACGGACAAGACAGAGAGCCGGAGCCTGACTCTTCAAAATAATTAAAAAAAGGAGCTGCATTCAAAAGCAGACAACCCCCCCAGCGCTTTGAATTCTCACTGCAAATGGATGATATTCCTCAAAAACAGGCAAGAAACCCGCTGAATTTGATCCGCACACGTCAGGCAAAGGGCACTAGGAGTGTCACCCCGGCTGTGTTTGGGGACGTTGCCATAGAAAACAAAGGGAGTGATGTCATGAACGGTGAGCAGCATCATCACCGGGAAGGCACGGAAGTTAGAACGTTGGCTGATAAAACCTGTCGGAAGTAAACAAACAAACAAACAAACAAACAAAATAGGGGAGTAACAGATTTGAGAAGGGACTCACTTCTCTGCTGCATCTGATGCACTTTCCCTGTCGCCAAGGTGGAACGAAACCAAAGTACGCCAGTAACCTCAAACGGGCGATTAATCGGTGACCCGGGATGGCCCATTCTCACCCCTTTTTAACCCACAAAACATCCCCGAGTGGGTTTTATTTGAAATATCAACTCCCTCAACCTCCGGCTAGCCTCTCTCTTCCAGCAGCTTTACCGCAGGGAGGACGGTGTCCTCTCCCCATCTCCGGCACGGGCTTGTACACTTTGTATACATCATTTTTCATTTATTTCTACTGCCAAAAATACACTTACCTATACCACAAGAGTTTTAAGACCACGCAAGTATTTAAAACTCAGGAACTCAGATGGAGCATGGCAATTCCAAGCACAAAACGCAAGCCTGCCTTCCACTCCATTCTGTTTGCTACGGACACGCACAAGTTTTGTCATTTTACTTGTAAAGAGCCAGGTTTTACACCTTCAAAATGTAAAATAAACCTCCCTGTCGTTACTTCGCTTCAGAAGAGCTGGATGAAAGTGCTTTTATTATAAAAAATGCACATTTTCTTGGCTCTTTTTTTTTTTTCCCCTCCTCTCCAAACTTCTAGAATGTATTTTCCTCCCTGCTGTGTTTGCAGCTTAAGAAAGGAATGATTTCGCCAACACGCACGACCCCACTTTCCCTGGCAGCGACCAGCCCGCGTACTCCGCAGAGGACTTTTAAGTCTTCGAAACACTTTCCAACTTTAATCCCTGCATCATTCTGCGAGGCGTGCTACACGGCTGAAAACCTGCAAGCTGAGAGAAGTTTGGGAATCTGAAATACTTGGGGGAAAAAAGTGAATGTAAGCACTTACTAACGTTATTTCGTGTCCAAGTCACGCTTGTCACACTACTGTCAAGGCAGAAAGTCGATTTCTACGACAGAGCGCCCTGTCCACGCTGGATATATTTAGAGTATTTGGTAGGAGGGCAAAGAGACAATGTGATTCAGCGAACAGGTCACGAGGGAAGAACCCCAAAGCCCTGGATCTATGCCCACTACCGACCTTGCCCGGCACCTAACGTTCCTGTGCTCTCAGTCCTTTCCATCGTAAAATCAAAACGACGATTGCAGCGCTTTGGGAACGTGTCGGGATCTGCGGGCGATCGTCCTTAGACAAACTACCTTAAATAAGTTTCTTTAAGGCCATTAAATGTGTATCCATCGATAGAAAAATACTATAGCGCTGTTTAATTAATCCGTAAATTGCAATAAACGTTCCAAGTATATTCAGAGACGCGCTCCTCTTTCGAACCCAGGGAGCCGCCAACCCACCAGGGCGTTTCAAGCAAACCCTGCTGCGATTCTCTTCCCCCCAAGTTATTTTCAGCATTCGAACTCGTCTTGACACCGCAACCAAACGTTTCTGGTGTCGCCCCCAGAAGATTTAGGGTACTACACGCACATACGTGGTTACAACTGTGCTTACTCATGCTTTGTAAATAATTTAGAAAAAAGGGAGCTGGTAAAACACGTGGCACTTCCCCTAAAGCCGACTAGTCACCTTGGGTGAAGCATTTTTCTTCCCATTTACGAGAGCCTACTGTAAAATGACAGGGGGGAAAAAACTGCCTTCAAGTGTTACCATCCCACATTCATTCTAATCTTTGACGTTAAAAAATTACATCGCCCCAGAACCGAACCAAATGGGGGCGGGGAGGGGGGGGAGTCAGGCAGCCAGAAATCGCTGCTCTTCGCGGTACGATACCGTCCAGAAAGTGAAATAACCCTTTGAAAAACACGGCAAGAGGCAAGAAGGAAACTTCTGAAGGCACGAAAAGGTTTTACAGCCCCATTTTGCTTTCACGCTGGATGGCGTTTTCCCCCATTTTGTTTATGAGAACACAGAAGAACATATTTTTGGCAAAAGCTATGTTTAAGCATTTCAGTAACAGCTGTGCTCTGCGTGCCGAACTGACGGCAACAACATCAGACGCCGCAGCATCCTCCGCGGACCCTTGCTCCACGCAGGGGATGCTTTGTGTCAACAGTAGTCCCGACTTGATTTTATTACACGATAACGCTCAACATCAGCCTATTTTTAGATCCCGCTCGCCAAGCTCGGAAGGGTAGCACGATGTAAGGAAAAGCCGTTTGCCGGCATAAATGGAACGGGAAGGAAAACACCCAACTTTACATCCCGGTGAGCTCTTGAAAAGGAGACAGAAAAAAAACACCTCACTTTGAAGAGATTACAAGCAGTTTTTCTTCTCCCACCGCAGAGGCAAGCTGCATCCCTAATTCCCAGATTATCCTGGTGAGGTCTCGTCAGGAAAGGTAACCCCTTCCCTGGCAAATCCAGGCAAGTGGACAGCGCAGACCGAGCAGGACCTGCAGAGCAAGGTCACCAGAAAAGGGAACAGGGTTTTTAGCGTTTCCAGCCCCCTGTTTGCAAACAGGAAAGAAAAGAGCCTTCGTCCTCTCTAAAGTGCAATTTCCTCCGTCTATGTGCCCAAACTTTTGGCATTTGGTGGTTAAGAACCGCCTGGCCTCGCCTCGCAGCCCTGGGGTCACTTCCCTAACCACAGAGGAGATGGCAAAGCCGGATTTTGCTTTCGGTCTTGTCATCCCCGTGCCCGGCTGTCTCCGTTTGCCGAAGGATGAGTCGGG